CATAGCAGTTGCAACTTTGCCTAGTGGGATTGGTAATGCTTCCAGTTGTGAAGCTAGAGGAGCTAAACTAGCAGTGGAAATGTTAAGCCAGTGTTTGGCCCTCTTTGAAATAAATATGAGTGAGCAGGCTACGTTCTGGGGTCTTCTGACGAGTCAACATCTTGGAGCAGGTCGATTAGGGAGGGGGAGCTCTTGAACTTTTGAAGCAATGGACTCTTGTGCAAGGCTTAAGCTAAGATGAGTTTACAACTGAAGTACGGTTGTCTCAGATGTGCATGGAGAGCTCTTCAAGTACCCCTCTTAGACGGGAAGCCCTGTAAGTCCCCATGGTCATTCAAGAAGAGATGGAGGGCACGCGTTGAGACGTAACACATCAGTGCTCTCATATAGCTCCCTTTAAGAAGAGAAGAGTTCGCGAGCAGAACTTGACAAGTAGGCGTTTTGTTATCGGTGGAAACGAAGGTTTGGGCGTACCATCACCTGCAACGCTTCTTACAAGGAACATGCTGTCCAGGGTTGCGGTATTCGTGAGCGGGAGGGGACAAGAAACCCCTGTGAAAAAGGCTATCGCAATCTGAGACTCTGGCGGAACTCCGGAGAAATGGGGTGTTCCAATGTGAACGGCTAGTGGGTGCTGGTTCTAGAGCCACTTCATCGACGACTGATTTTGGGAATAGGAAATTCTTCTGACGATCAGGAAAATAACGCTCTTGATGGGAATACGTAAGAGATACTGATTTTTTTTTGCAAAAAAAACACGGCTGCAGAGCTGATCCAGTCTCAGGACTTGACAAGAGCTGGCGACAAGCTGAGTCCAGGACTGACAGCCAATCCCGGGTGCTGGCAGTCGCTAAACCGGCATGAACGTCATCTAAACTTGCAAAAGTATCTTACATCAATAGGCTGTTTCGACGAGGGCATTTGCATATTATGCTCCCTAGTTCCGTTTAGCAAAATATCCACTCGGTAAACTTGTAACTCTTGTGAACGAAGTAGAAACGATCTATCCACTATCAAAACGTTACAACTCGAGAAACACTACCATAGGTGGGTGCGCCCTACTTGTCAAAGTTGCTTCTCAAGTTAGGTTTTAATCACCCACGCTTGCACTGGGAGAAGGTTTATAAAAAGCTTTTAGAATTCACTCTTAGGTCATTAAACTACCTGCGGTTACATGTCCTCAACGAAATTGGTTGTCCAATCTTGGCCTTACACGCCGGTATCAAAAAGCGGAGCGAAAAGCCTTCATGCCTCCCGTTCAGAAAGTCTTTTTGCAGACTATGGAAGCGGGTTTGAGTTCAGAATGCGTACGATTTCATCCATCTCATTCTGAATAGCCCGCCGCTTTTATATTTTTACGGCAAGCACTTATGGTGCAAGTGCTTGAAAATTACTTGGCGTGCCGAGTGTGTTACTTTTCAGGTTAAATGGGTTGCTTCGTCAATTGCGTTTGCTGACAGGTTCGACAAGTATCTCGATCCAAGCTTCTTCCAACATAGGGTAAGTCATATAGTCCATAATTCTGTACTTTTGGGGGAAATGTTCTACAATGTGACTAAAAGAGTGAAAGACTTGTCGTGGAAAAAAAGGCTCAAGCGGAAGGGCCAAGAGTAGCCTCACGTGGGACTTTTTGCGTCTAATAAACATAGGAAGCTGGTGTGCATCTGTTGGGTCTACTCCATATAACCGAAATTTTCCAGATCCATTGGTTCTCGATCTTCAATAGTTTTATGATGGTTGTGTTCCTTGTTGGGTTAGTATGGATGATCCTCGTAAGAACACTGCGAAAGGACTATGCCAGATATCAGAAGGAGGACAGTCTCGATGATCTGGTGAGTTTTTATGGAGTTTTAGCTTTGTTGGAAACATTCCTGGTCGCCTGCCAGCTTCCACTGTTGGTGGAAAGCAGGCTGGCACCGCACCAAAACCAGCTCTGTGAGAAGCCCCAGTCCAGGGTGCATAAGTGCGCCTACTTATAAAAACAGTTCGAGGTGATCTTTGCGCAGTCCTTTCAAACCTCTTGCACAATGCTCGATTGCTCCGTAACAAAAAGTATTTATGTGGTGTTTCAGGTTTAGGCAGTGCTCAGGCATGATAAAAGGGTCAGAGGTCGCCGGGATACTGAGGATCGAAGGGCTTATTAGGCGGAGTTCGTACAGGGTCGTGTGTGTAGCCGGCAACCATGACATGACAGTGTTTGCGCCGACGTAATATAGCCGCCTGAGTACCTGTGTCACCTGTATGTCCCGTTGATCATCGAGTTCCTCGAGCGGGCGCCAGTAACGTCTCCATTCGTCCCTGCAACGTGCAAGAGTTGCCCAATGAACTCTCTCTGCTCGAGGGACATGAACTTCATACCATTCGTTCAGAGTTTTCACGAAGAAGTCTGACCATCGCATAGGTGAACGTCCAGGTGTCCGTTTCATGTCCTGTAGAATCTAACTCTCAATTGCTCCGGTTAATCTTCGAAACGCATGGCCCACCTCACCTTCGATCGTCGACGGAAAGAGTCCCGGTTCTTACGTGTAACGCGAAATTCCGTGGATCCATCTGTACGTGGAATTTTAGGAAAACGTCGCCAAATGTCTTTAATATTTCTCTCTGTAGCTTTCCCCACCCCTTGATTTCTTCTACATTTTAAATTAGCAGCTCCAGGACAGCGCTTGAGCGACAGAGGATGATTTTGAAGTTTTGTTTTTGTAAGCGACGGAAAAAAAAAAACCGTACTTGCCAATTGTTTTTCTTCTCCCGTAGGATGTACGATTTGGTTTCCCGGGCAACTGGACTCTAACGAGATCCATATGGTGCAAGTTTACGACATCAAGTAGAGCTTTATTGCACTGAAGGGGCTATGCAATCTTTCAAGGCCGAATAATTTAGCATCATAGCTACGAGAAACTTTCGAGAATGAAGAATTTTTTCGTTAACAATTTGTTCGATAGCGAGCACCGTGGGGACCATGGCTCTCGATGAAATGGAACTTTCGTTTCAGTTCATGGGGAATGTACTGACACTATGTTTTGTTAACTGTGCGACAAAGTGCTTCTTAGTTGACGGAAGCGAATCGCTTTTACGACAGAAAGCACCGGGGTTCCCTACGAAAATAAGTTACTACATACAAGTTACGGAAAACGGGGAATACAGTTCACTGAAAATTGTGCGGGAAATTAAATGTGTCGGCCCCGTGAACACCCACAGTTGGACAGCAGCTCGGGTCGTTTATTGCACTCATATTTACTCGGCGCATTTCGATTAACCTGCTGGCTGATGGCCTTATTCGCCATCTTGCGCAGTCCTGTTTGGTTGAACGTTTGCACATTGAGCTAAGGAGTCTTGCGAGCGCATGGGTCAATATCGTGGAGGGGGGGGGGAGACAGGAAGAGGAGCGGAGAGCGAGCCCTACAATCTAAGGCGTGCACTGAGCGTGTTACTGTAATATGCCCCGGTGCTAACGTATTTGGGGGGGGGGACCACGCGGCTCGCGGCGAGTGATGACTCATCGGCTCTTCACTAATAGGCATACTTGAAGCGCCATTCAGCGGCCAAATTGAAATAAAACAAACAATATTCACCGGAAATTTGCTAAGAAACCCCACAGAAGCTGAAAACAAGTGTTTGATTTGTCGTAGTCAACAATAACAGTAAACAACAAGCAGGCAGCAATCTTTTGCAGTAGAACCTTCCAGCCTACAATTTTTTCCTCACACTTTTCAGCGTTGACTATTTTAACAATTGAATATAGCTAAGACGGTGTTATCTCCTCGTCCCAAATATAAATTACTTCTATTTTGCCGAGGAGGAAGCAAAGGAGTCGATGAGTCATCGCTCGCCGCGAGCCGCGTGGTCCCCCCCAAATACGTTAGCACCGTGAGCCCCTCCTCATACTTGTCAACCCCATCTCCTTTTTCTTTCTGGACTCCTTCTTTTCCATCCTTCTTTCTCTCTTCTCTCCTCCTTTACCTTATCTCTTCAACTGCCGGACTAGTACATTCCAGGAGAAAATAACTCTACACCCCTTGTATTGAGAGTAAGCCCTATGTAACCCGGAGCTGCCTACGACACTCAGGTTTTAACGCGAAGTTGGGATACCCGAATCCCGCCTCTTTTACTAGACATATGATTTAGTCTTTCGGAAGTTTACGGAAGATAGAAAAGCGTTAAGGATATGAATTCACAGTTGTGCGAGTTTATAATGCTTAATTCTTTTCTCATGTCGTATTTTTCGTTTTGGAAATGTAGGAGAGACTGGAAAAATTGTATCTAGTGGAAGTCTCGTTACGAGGGAGATATTCTGTTCCTTTTATAGCTTTCATTTTTGTTGCCTGCATGGATTCTCTCATAAGTATATGGACTGAGCGCTAGTTTTCCAGGATGCTGATTTGGGCGACGAATACGGCTGGAAGCAAGTGCATGGAGATGTGTTCCGTGCGCCGTCGATGCCGCTGTTGTTCTCCAGTTGTATCGGTGCCGGCTACCATGTTTTCACTGTGGCAGTTATTACCATTGTACTTGCTATTGTTGGAGAATTCTATACAGAGTAGGTTCTTTCGCCGATTTTTGAACAGCGAAATGAGGGTACAGAAGTTTTATCCACAAGGCCAAAGAATCCCAGGAATTTTTCGAGATCTTACTAAATTTTTGAGCTTTTTGGGATGGAACTTCTTGGTTCTCATTTTGGTTCTCATTTAGTTCTTCAGCATTCAGATAGCCATGAGGCTTCAGTACAGCCCACTATTGTGGTATGGAAGCTTATTCGCTAAAATGCTAAGAACTGGATTATTTTCTAGATCTCTTCGACTTTTTTTGAATTATTTTATTGGACGCAATCGTTTTAGACGTGGTTCTCTTCTCTCCGCGGCTATTTTCGTATATGCTGCTAGCTCACCCGTGAATGGCTATGCTGGTGGATCCATGTACGCGAGGTTTGGTGGACGGCATTGGATTCGCCAAATGGCTCTTGGCGCTTTCCTCCTTCCAAGTTTGGTGAGTTTTGATTGAGTGGTCGTTTCTTCGGTAGAAAACGGTTCCGAACATGGTTGATAAGCTTACGGTCACTTCCTTAGTGATTTTTATACTATTCGGTTTCTTCCTTCTCAGACCGCATTCATAATTTGCGAACGGGGTGATTCAATGATTTTGAGAAACTTGTCGATTTGGGAAATCGCGCGATGGGGAGAGAATAGGCATCGATTTGGCGACTGCGGAAATTGAGCGATTTGGCGATTTAAAGGCAGTTGGCACGATAAATCCCTCAAGACGACTAGAATCAGTACGCCTGCCAGGTCGGAATTCCGCGACCTTGAGCAGGCGCTGCATAGCGGCTTCTCCAAGGAAGATGCCCTTATAAGGGCCTTATTAAGCCACAACATTACGACCCAAATGCCCACCACGCCCGCCCGCCCACAAATGGACGACCGTTCCTGACGCTCGTATTCATTCACTTGCTAAGCAGGGACTAGTATGAAACGGTCGTGATGCTGCATACATACATAGGTACATATATGCAGCCGTATCTTCGGTAGCGGTGATTGGTAAGATGCGCACGGGAAACTCGTCCAAAATCGATTTTCAAGTCACCGAGAACGGAGGCTTCTCCTTCGCAAGATTTTGACCGTTTCACTCCGTTCCTTCGTCATTTCCCCACTATATGGCGCCCTACTAGCATTTTGGGCCGAGTAGGAAATCATCGTGCCAACTGCCTTTAAGAGACTCGCCGTCATCGACCTTTGCGCTCCAAGGGAGTTAGTGGGTATCGATTGGCGACAGTCGCTAGCGATTACGGAGACTTGGCGATCCGGCGTTTTCGCGGATCACTTAATCCCTCAATCGCCACATCGCTCCACCCCAGCAGTCACCAGATCGATAAATATACTTTCCTCGTCGCGTAATCTCAAATCAGCGAGTCTCCAAGATCGTCGAATCTCATCAGTCGCAAAAGTGCGAACGCGACCTCTGGTATTTTCCTAATAGGAACAATTTTTGTGAGAGTTTTTCTCAAGTATTACATGCATTTCAGGTGTGCGGCGTTGCGTTCCTCATCAATTTCATAGCTATTTATTACCACGCCTCCCGAGCTATTCCTTTCACTGTTATGGTAATGTTTTTGAATGCAATAATTCATTTACTTTTTAACAATTTGCGCTTGTGTTTATGTATGGACCTTGTTTGAGTAGCTGTTTTAGCTGTCATCCACTGGGACCTTGACAGCTGAACTTGAATGACTTACAGTATTGTTCGCTGCGAATGCTCGAGCGTGTAGGGAAGAGGGGATGGGAGGGGGGGGATAGAGTTGTTTGTCACAACGCCAGCACGTTTTCCACCATTCGTTGACACCTGCTCCTCATCAGCAATTGGAGGTGAACGATCGGCGTCTCGACAAAGCTGTCCCTGACACGCTTAGCATCCGCAGCAAAGAGGACTACAAGTATTATTTCTATAAATTTTCAGTTGGCTGTCACTGCGATTTGCTTGTTCGTCATTCTTCCATTGACCCTAGTTGGAACTGTTCTTGGGCGCAACATGTCTGGTCAAGGAGATTATCCATGCAGGTGGGAAGAAGTGTTTCCTGAGAGTGACCGGGTAGAAATTTGATTTTGTGTTTTTGCGTTGCAGAGTGAACGCTGTCCCTCGCCCAATTCCCGACAAGAAGTGGTTTGTACAGCCGTGGTTGATTGTGCTGATGGGAGGTGTCCTGCCATTTGGAAGTATTTTTATCGAAATGTAAGTTATATGCAGTTATCCGTTTTTGTTTGTTTGCTCTAGTTTCCTAAATGATTAGAATGGTATATTGAAATTTTCAGGTACTTTATTTTCACCTCATTCTGGGCATACAAAATTTACTACGTGTACGGTTTCATGCTTCTTGTCACAATTATTTTGGCAATCGTTACCGTTTGTGTTACAATTGTCTGTTCGTACTTCCTGTTGAATGCTGAGGATTATAGATGGTAAGTATTTCACTTCTCATTCTAGTTTTATTAGTGAAAGTGGTGAAGAAATCATGCGTACGTGAGGCGCAGTATGCCGACGGGGGCATTTTGCACTTTCGTTGCTTCACTAGTTCTGGTTTACAAGTCTCACTCTGGTGAAACCTGTGAACTCTTGTGAAGCTGGAGCAAGCTCGTCAAGCCATCATGGTAAAACCTGTCAACTCGAGAAGAGGCTGTCTAGATGGGTCGACACGTCGATGGGAAGTCGTTAAAGTGCAAAATGCCCCCCCCCCCCCCCCCTCCCTCCCTCCGTCGACAAACAGCGCCCACACATGATTCAATAGAATGCACTGAGAGCCGCTGAGTGATTATTATCAGAGCACGTCATTGGTTGGGGAATTTCAGCGGGGGTCATATTCGATTGGTAGATGAGGGAAGGGTCATTTTTGAATGGAGAAAATTTGGACGCAGAACAGCGACGGGGATGGGGCATTTTGCACTCTCGCTGCTCCACTAGTTCCGGTTCACAAGTCTCACTCTGGTGAAACCTGTGAACATCAAGTAGCTTCACAAGATTCCACATTTTTCAACTTGATGGCTCGACAAGTTGGTGAAAACCAGCAGGATGCCCCCCCCCTTGCTTCCGTCCCTTGTCGTCGAACTGCTCCCATTTTCCATGCTTTACTCATCTCAGTCTTTTTCTTTCCCGTGTTAGAGATAGATGCGTCTGAGTTGTAACGTAGTGGTGCGTTGATTTCGTTCCACTAAAGCATAATGACAAGGCGGCCTTGGTGACTGACTTCTTATGCCGGTGCAGGTAGTGATTGTACCTCGACGAAATCGAGGTGACAAAACAAGGCCATGAGCGTGTGAAAGAGCGCGCGAGATAAAGGATGTTTCTGGGATACCAAAAGGAGATCGATTAGTACATTTTGAGGTCACTGTCTTGACTTTGGAAGATCAAACATGGAGATATGTCAGGATAAATAGGTCCATTCCTCAATGAATGAATCGACGGGGCGTGTCAGTGTGACGTGGATTTTGGTGCGGTGCCAGCTCTTTCTCCAACAGCCGTTGCCAGATGGGGCGAGCAATGTTTGGTGGAAAATGAGCTGTCACGCTCCAAAATCCACATCACACTGACACGCTCCTCGACTCGGTTGTTGAGGACAATGCCGGGAGATGGACAACACGATCGTAATTTCGCCGCGCGCTGAGCAATGTGCGGTCATGCGCGGGAAATTATCAATGTGCACCAGTCTGTCGATTGGAGTAGCGAAAATTATACCATTTCAAAGCAAAGAGAATACTCCATGACGAGCGATTTCGAATTCTCTCATCCCTTTGACACTCAATTCAAACGGCAAGGCAGAACAACTCGTCCGCTGGGCGTGGCGACTCGTCACGCCTACCAGCGCGACATCTTACCGACTGTTTTGTAACATAAATGATAACCTTCAATTTCTCTTCAAGGCTCCTCAAATACTGCATAACTTTTATACCATGTTTGCCAGAATAATGAAATTCCGTGTTTGCCAGAATAATGAAATTCATTTTAGGAGGTGGACTAGCTTTATGGCCGGTGCATCGACGGCGCTTTACGTGTATCTGTATTCTGTTTACTACTTTTTCTTCAAGACAAAGTAAGCAGAGTTTCAGTTTCACAGTTTTCAAGTCATTCTTTTATTTTCAAGCAATTCCATTTTCAAAGAAAAGAAACTTGCCCTCTAAACCCAAATTCAGGATGTACGGCTTGTTCCAAACGGTCTTCTATTTCGGCTATATGGGCATCTTCTCAGCAGCACTTGGTCTCATGACCGGCACAATCGGCTATGTGGGAACGGCGAAATTTGTACGAAAAATTTACTCGACGGTAAAAATCGACTAGTACGCAACAAATAGGTGTGTTTCTCTGAGTTTCACTACCATACCGACTCGTTGTCGTCGCTTTTTCATGTGTGTGTCTATTCCCTTTTTGTTTTTCGGTATTTATTACGGTAGTGAACCGTCTGAAAACGGTTAATCTGCCTGATTTCAGTATCTTTTTCTCTTTTTCTTTGCCTATTTTTATCCTTTTATAGCTTCATCTTTATGTTTCCCTATTTCTATTGTTTGTTGTTTATTGTCGAAGTTTTGTTTCCCCTATCCTGTCGTCTCTTGGTTTCCTATATTCCCTCTGGCCATAAGCTTGTTTTTTTCCGACTTCACCCCGTTCATGCGTCAATTCGCTATCCACCAGACCCCCTCCCCCTCCTCCCAGCTAAGTCTCGCCCTCTACAGAATTGTTACCGAAATGTGATATTTATTACTAATAACGTGTTAGTCGGCACTACATATAACTTTATTTGGTGTATGGACGAGTTTGCTTAGTCAATAAATTGTTTATAATTGTTTATGTTGTTTGTTGTACTTGGCAGTGAGTTACACAGTGGGAAGACCGGGGAAATGACGCTCATTACAGTAACTTAAAGGTGTTAACTGACCACCTGTGAAGAAATTAGCACAAAAAACTGCCAAGAACGTCTTGAATGTGAGCCCTGAACCCTTCACGTCGGCGAGTTGGCGTTGTACCAGAGGGTCCTAGCTAAGGCTTTTCACTAAGTTATTAACAGCTTACAAATGTAATAAGACCGGTATACAGGGGAGGGACAAAAAATTTTTCTTCCTCGACTTTCAAGGCGATATAAGTTACACTTTATTAAATTCTTATTATTTCACCACCATATTAAACAGCATATTGTATACTATCATGATACTCCGCCACAGCCTTCTGGACGAGCGCCATCGAGAGATTCTGCCACGCGACCGTGATTCGGTGCCTGAGATTCAGCGAGGTCGTTGATTTCTCCGCCACTGTAGACCACCCTGTTGAGCTCCTTCCAAACCTTTTGTCTGGGCTGCGAAAATGTTAATGTTATGTGACTCGGCCGAAGTGTCTTTTTTTGCACCCCCCCCCCCCCCCTGTAGTCTTAGTCGCTGCAGATGCTGGGTCGTGTCAGGGGCTGGGTTTAGGGCGGCGCCAAGCCGTTTTCCACCAATTTTTGTCGCTTGCCCTATTAAGCAATTGGTGGAGAAAGGACTTGCATCGCGGCGACAGTATGCACGCAACGCATGCGTTCGTCGGTGGGGTTTCCAGAGGAGTCTCTGAGCCTTTTTACCGAGTCTGTGTCTTATAAGACTGGCAGTCGTAACGGAAAATCTGCCAGTTGCATCACACAGTGGTTGGTTTAACTGTAGAGCGTTAATCTAACGTGCTGGGAGCAATGAAGAACTGCGCATTGTAAGGCGCTTTCTTATACGCATGGTTGTTTTTTCAGTTCTTTCATCAAAAACTTCATGGAAGAAGTTCTTTCTCACTGTTCCAAAGAGCAGTCGATAGCAGTGGTCATTGACAAGGGGTGAGCGACGTCGCATGAAGATACACCGCCAGAACGACAGTCTCTAGGAACTACACTCCACGCAAGATTGGGAAAAGATTCGCGTGAAAGAATCGCTCCAGAAGAACCCACCCAACCCGCCGCAAATATATGCTCACAAGTTGACCCCCAGCTACAGTGCCCCGCCCGCCAGACAAGGCGCCCTTTTTGCGCGGCAACACAATTTACACACACTCTTACACACATTAGACGCTATACCAGTCTATACCAGTTTTGGGCAAAGTTTTTTTTTTAAGATTCGCAAGGCAGCGTTCAGACTTCGCGACGGCAGCGCTTCGATCGCGCGTTCGACGCGATCGATGTAGTAGAAGGCATGCGCATCGATCGCCCCGAACGCGCGACCGAAGCACTGCCGCGTCGCCGGGTCTGAATCGCTGCCTAAGCGAAGCTGGTCTTTTTTTCCCAGTCTTGTGGGCGAAACGCCACCGCATGTATATTGCAATACAGTCGATGCCATTACATGCCCCGTCCCCAGAGAACTACGACTTTTTTGCCGCAACGACACAATTGTGGAAACAGTGCAACTGCTTTAGTCGATGCGAGTACTGCGTAGGATGGTTTCACCTTGTCGTGACCGCGGAAACTGAGCAGGGAGTGTTTGCTCACTTATAGAGAAGTGTACATCACCTCTGGCCTTCCATGAAGGCCACGATATCGTTATCGAAATCACAGGCGCAGGGGGGGGGGGAATGTATCTGATCGGCGGAGGAAAGAGGGCCGTAATGCGCAGGGCTCAATTAGAGTGCCAGCCACTTGAGTACGATAAGGATTATCATGGTGTGTTGTTTGAGAGCAACCTGAAGAGACACCTGAAGGCAGAGGCAAGTTGCAAGCCCAGTAGTAGGGAGATGTAAGTGACAAGAAGTACAGCGGCCGCCCTCAACGACCTCATGGATTAATGAACAAACGAAACGCAGTATACATTCGACCTTTGATTGGTGGGAACACATCTGCTTGCACAAAGAAGCTCCGTCAAGAAGTTGCACCCTTCTAACACCTCTGCGAGGGAATTGAGCATGCCGCAATTTAGAGGTGATGCCAGTTGACGGCGAATGAACTGCTTCGTACTTCGCAATAAGTGGCGAAAAAATATGTTCTTTAAGCCTTCTGAAAACAAATTAAAAAACTGGAAATGGTGTTGCCACAGTGGGTTCTTGGTGTCGCCAAAACTGTTCACTAGTCAGCCGCTTCCGAAGGACAATCATGGCAATGCTCTGGGAGTTTACACGCATACAAGAGTAGCATCTCATCATGAACGGCCGTGTCGAGTTGAGATCGTTCCCTTGTGAGGATCGCTGCCGCTGACGATTCCAGACGAAAGAGAGGCAGAGATGCACAGTTGATATAATCGCAATCAGTCAGAGTGGTGTCAGAAAGGACGGATCGAAATCGTCTTCGGCAGCCTTGCGATAGCAGTGGCGATCAGTCACTCAACGATTCGGGTAGAAAACAACCAGTGGTGAAAATGCCACGGGAAGGCTCACTCCATCCCTCTTAAAACGGTCACGACTGATTGCGAAGTTATCAACTGTATGTATAGGTTGGAAGGAAAGTCTTGTCACTGTTGTGACTTTTTTCTTTTTTATTTTCTAACTCAACATGCAGTGGGAATTAGTCAACAATATACTCGTCATAGTTAGCCACTACAGTGCTCCACCCAATGGACAGGTAAGCATTCCCTCCTCCCAGAACTGAGAAGGCTGCGAGTAGAGTAAATCAGCGCCCTCTCGACTGATGTCATCAAAG